TTCTGAACATGAAGCTAGGTAAAGTTGGACCACAAAACCTTCTACTTTAGACCTTTCTCCCAGCTGAGGCACATTTAGGTGTCTAGGTGTTTTTCTATAAATTGGGAATGAGAATGTTGAGATTTCTAGTAAAACAAACAAACAAAATACACATACAAACAGATAGCATATCCCAACAAGTTCAGGGCTTTTTGGTGGGGTAAACATGCACCATGGATGACATCCTGTTGGATATGGTCTGTCTGCACATGTCCATGTCCAACAGGATGTCATCAATTGGCAGTTGCAGATTGATGCTGATTAAAGGACTTCCTTCTGTAATCTCAGAAGGAAGTCCTTTGTCACTTTACATACAAGTTACACACTCCCTGAAATCACAAAAGGAAACCAATAATCAGCTATCATCTGCCAGTGATATTTCCACTGCACAGGTGCAGCTGTGCAATAAGATTCCAACTGATTTTTATTTCATATAGAATTAATATTTCTGACCTTTTTGAATTTCCATTCCCTCTGGCCATCTGATTAGTCCATGCAGAGATTACACTGCACTGATTATAGATGGATTAGAAAAAGACCTTTAATTGCCCAACTTGTGTCAGTCTGTTTATCTGAGCTAGGATGTCCTTGTTACCTTTCAAGAACTGTTTAACAACCAGCATTAAAACCATCCCTTTGCTGTACTTTTTGCATCCCTGGCATGTATATAAGTGTCTGCCTCCTGAAGTTATACTGTATAGCACTACATCTGATAAAGCAGGCTGCAGTTCATGAAGTCTTATTTGCAATAAAATATATTAGCCTTTACAGAGCCATGAGATATATACATATATATTTGCAACACCACACTACCGTGGCTCCCACCTTCTTATAGAGTGAATATTGCATTTTGCACTATTTGATCTCAGTCTTCTTCTCTTTCCCCACACTGCCGTTTGACTAGGCATGCAAAAACAATGTCGTTGTTGTTAGTTTATAAATACCTGCCATACAATGTGCTTGGGAAATTCTACCAGGAGAGGATGCAGCATCGTACTTTTCATGCACATTTGTTTTTGAACATATGGTTTACTTTGTATTGGTATTTCATCCAGCATTTCATTTTCCCATATTTCTGATGAAATGGACCTGTCCACAAAAGCTCACACTAAAATATAATAGTTAGTCTTTAAGGTGCCACATTTCTCTCTCTCTCTCTCTCTCTCTTGTCTTTTTTGGATTTTGTTTGATGAAACTACTCCAGTTATTACTTCCTCAGGCCCAGGACGGCTTCCATAGGCCGACTTTGAACTGTGCCAGTTTATTTTATTTCTCCTTAGAATGACCCACTCAGTATCAGACCAAATACAAATGCTAGGGAGAGGATGAGTGGGATGATATCCAAGTGACAGGCACTCACAAAGATGAATTGATGTGCATTTGACCACAGTATTAATTGGAATCAAATCAGTAAAATTGTAGCTAGACTGTTAACATCAGAACAGGGCCTTGCAAGTAAAAGACAAGAATGCAAGTCTGTATGTAGTTAAAGGGGGAAATGTTACCTTGGCAACACATAAATATATTATTACTCTTAAACGATGCTAGTGAAATATCAAAGCTATCTTCAAAGGAAAGTGCAGATAAATGAAACATAGCTAAATGGAAGAAAGTAACTACGTCTTGCCATAGAGGGCAAAGGCAGCATAGGGGAACAGCTAAATGAGGCAAATGTTGTATTTTCATCTTATGTATTAATTATGCATCCAGTATCGTTGTCCCTTTTGTGTTAGCAGGCATGCTGCTCTTTCTAGAGGCAGCGAGATGAAAGACATTTTCTGCATAATATTACAGGAGGCAGGGTAACCCTTATAATGAAACTCATTATTCTAGGGTCACTGAGTTGAATAAAGAACTAAGGCTCAAATCTTCACAATCCTAACATACAGTAAATACACACTTTACTATAAGAGATGATTTAGTGACTTCCCATCTAACTAGGGGCATGTCCAGACAGGCATTTGTCTCCCCCCATTTGTTGCTGTGCTGGGGCGGGTTGGTTTGCTCTTTTTTTCAGCATCCATAAAGCAAGTGGGCTAAATTGCCCCAAATTGTTCTCAGGGCATCCTAACCCACACCTTTTTGAGCCCCTTTCAGGGCTTTCTACTTTTTTCAAGTACAGGCTGGTGAGCTCTAGTTTCCCAGCATATGCGGTCACAGGGAAGGAATCAAAATCAAGCCTTGAAGCTCTCAAAGCTACCAAGACTCCTTCTGGTTAGAATTTCCACTATCATAAAGTGCTTGCTAAATGAGCCATGTCAGGATATCAGCAAACTGAACACTTAAGACACTTTTTCCCCTTCCTCTTTTTTTTATGAGGTGTTTGTCTGTTGCGTGCAAAAGAGAGGTAGAAAACGCCAGCACATCTGGAAGGCAAAGTGCAAATGGAGATACGTGCATGGATCCATAACAGAGTGTTAAGAGCCTCTTTTATTTTTACACAGAGATCCTGTTGGAGAGGTCTCTTGTTCAGATGGACACACACACCCTTTCCTTTTAAATCTGCTTTGCACCCTCCAAGCAATCCCTCTCTCTTCTCTCCCTCTCTCTCTGTACAATATAAGGTGCAAAGGGAGGGGGATCTCTTCCTTTTGTCTCCATAGGTGGGATGAGCAAGGGTGGGTTAGTGCACATACTCCTTCTCTGCATGTCCTGCTTCTTTCTTTCTGTCCCCCCTCCTCCAAACTCAGTGTAGTCAAACAGAAGACAGGTGTCTGTTTGTTTTGGGTCAGTGATCAACCACTTTTTCTCCTCTTGCACCAGCACATGTAGCTTGCCTCTCTCTCTCTCTTTCTCTGCCTCTCCTGCCTGCCATTCCCAGCCATACTTTAACCCTAACTCCATTCCTTTCTTCCAAACTCTAGCTTTGCATCAACATGCCACTTCAGGACACTGGAAATAAGGTCCCCTGAGGTCCCAATGACATTTGGATGTGAGGATTGCATCAAATGGCACATCACTTCTCCCTGCAACCTCAAGAAACTGCACTGAAGGAGCCAGTCTGTACATGCTCTTAGTCAATGCTGAAGAGCCAAACCATGGGTGTGGGAAATATTCTCGGGTTGCACAGAAACTCTTATGGCTGCCAATCATTCCTTCATCAGGCAGACTGCTGACTGATTGCCACAAAATAGATGCTGTAATGTGGGGAACTGTAAGAAGATTGGGACATATGCATATTCGATATACCAAGACACAGCTTAGATACAGTTTATTGTGTCATCCCTTTAGATAAGGGGGTAAGTCTATATGCATGAGGGAGGTCAGAAAAGAGTAACAGATAGACAACACTTGTGTGATACATTTTTCCCTTCTGACAAAAATTTCCTCATAGATACGTGCTTCAGCAATCAAACCTGAAAACTAAAATTGTGTTTACTTTCCAACAACCAGTTAGAAAAGGAAGCATACTATATGCACAATATACACCTGAGGAAAATTGCATGCTATGACAAACATCTTTCATCACTTAAAGGAGCACCTCTTCTAAATATTTGCAGAGTATATCTATTTGCCCGTAAAATAAAGGAAAAGAAACAATTGTTTCCTCTTTAGGAGAAAAAACTGGATGTAAAGAAAAACAGGAGGAGCGCTGAGACTGTTGCTGTGCTTTTACATTTGCAAAGAAAGGAAATATTTAAAAAGTTCACAAGTTTTCAATGCTCTGTCATCAAAAGAGCATTAAATTCAAAGGTGCTGCCAGTTATGTTGGTACTACTCATCCATGAGTAGAATTTCTCTCTACTCATGGATGTGGGAAACAAACAAAGACAAGGACTCAGCTGAAAAATCCAGCCAAATTTTGTTTTCATCTTGGAAGCAGGTTAGAGACCCAATGAAAATGAAAAGGGACAACTGAGAAAATGTTGCTGAAATATGCAGGGGTGTGTTGGTAGGGTTGTTATTTACCTCACTCAGATGTCCTTAAATGGTACACAGTTTGCTAGGACCTTAGGATGGGGATTTTCAAGGCACATTAAGCACACCATCTGGTATTTATACTCTTTGCTTGTAACACAAGTTTAATGTAAGGAACTGGTTTTGAACTATGACATCAGGGTCCCAACATCACAGAAAGGATTGGCTCTTCTATCCCATTGCCTCAGAATGGTTCCTTAACAATGACTCAAAGCAAGATTCCTTGACTTTACCATACATTCATTTGATATCAAGCCATAGATGGTTCATGACTGGAGCAGGGGTATTGCCACTGAAACTTTGGGGTAAGGTCTCCTGTCCTGATCCAAGAGCCTCCCCTGCCTCAAAGGTAAGCACAGAATCAATCTTAGAGCTTACATATAATAGACACTAAGAGTAATATTTTTTCCAGTATACTAGGATCTTTTAGAAATGCAAATTACTTTGACTGGGGTGGCGATTGTAAGGAGTGTCCTTCGGAGTGCAAAATATGAAGAAAGGGTTGTCTTTCTTCTCCTTTTCTCTGATCTGATGTGTTGTCCATCTACCCACAACTGATACATTTTGCATTTTGTAGAAATAAACAAAAGGACCTTGCACTGGTAAATGAAAAGATGAATTTATTTATTTTATTTATTTATTTTATTTATATCCCGCCTATCTGGTCAGACGAGGACCACTCTAGGCGGCTAAATTCAACATTAGCTGTAGTTCATCTCTTTCTACCTGTCCTGCCACAGCATCTTCAATCTGTAGGAGACTGGCCAAAATTTTCTTGTCTACTTATGCTGGCATAACACAAATACGGTAACTCAAGAAATCTCCATAGACATTATCTACTGCATAATGACTTGTGTGATCCAGTGTGCAATGAATAATGTCTATGGAAATTTCTTAATCTGTGTCAATCCGCCTCTAAAAATAATGCTTTTCCCACAGCTATTCAAGAGAATTTCAGCCAGTATCTCAAGAATTCCAGAGACTTGCAAGCTCAAAGATGCACATAATGATTTTTTTAAATTGATATATTATAGCATTCCTACCTGTCTGTTACATCAGGAAGAGGCTTGACCAGCTTCTGCCAGATTCCCAGTCCTCTTCTGTTCTCAAAATGCCAGAGCTTCCTGCTATGTTCCTTCCCAGTCTTGTTCTCAACAAGGACCATGGAAATGTCTCCAAACAAGATGCCTTGTAGGAGCCATGACATTCGAAGCTATAAGGAAAAAGTTAACACAAAGGAAAGTTAAGCAGAGTGAACAATAAAATGCACAAACAATGCACTCTTCCAATTATAACCCATTTCGTCTAGCTTCTATTCTTTAGAGGAAAAGCTAGGGGACCTCTGGCCCTTCAGATATGTAAGGTGGCAGCTCCCACTACACTGTACTATTGGTTCTTCTGGGTAGGACTTCTGCAAGTTAGTCTAAGAACCATATCTAACTGGCAGTTCAACTAGACTCAAATCATCAAATCAATGGCATTTACAGTATTACACCAATGGATTAAATGAGTCTACTCTAGCTAGCACTAGCAATCGGATTCTGGCCCCAAACATTTGAAGGACCAAACACAGTGAACTGTTGTTCTAAGGGATGAACTGCAAGGCAATATGCTGGATAGGGACTGGGAAAAATCCTGTAGTCAGCCAATTTGCCCTCGGGCCCCATCTTACAGAGCAACTGCCTCTCTCAGACCTTCCATTGCACATTATAGTCTTGGGATATTGTTTTCTTCCTATGACGGCATGCTTCACTGAAAGGACAGATGAGAAAATTCTTGCATCTAACATACACCACTGACTTCTTTGGCTGAGTCTGCAAGTCACTTCTACCTGAAGCACATATTCTCCTATGAAAAGCACAGCATTGATACTTGCATGATCAAAAATAGCAAGGATCCTTCTCTCCCTTTAGACATAGCCTAATAGAAACAAGTTAAACTTGACAGCATTCCTGTAATGAACTCTTTTATATTCAGCTAGCAACAGAGAGAAGAACTGCAACAAAAGGATGTTATCAGCATTTATGCTGTCATTTCCAGGATACTCCTCTTTCAAAAAAATAGTTTTTTCTTCCTCTCTGCAATTTATTATAGATTTTCCAATTATGATCCAGAGATATTTGTATTTTTTAATTGAAATAGCACACCGGGATTTCACTCAGTTTAAATGTAACCAAGACCCTCTGCGACCTTTTATTTCTGTCACATAATTATTTCCTGCCATTTTCACCATTTAGAACATGCTCACCCTCGTTGTCACCAATAATGTGAACCCCCAGCAGACTCAGGATTAGCCCATTGCTTCCTCTAATGTGAAAGGTTAAAAGATAGAGAGAGGGTGCATCTCTGCTAACAAGTAATGTGTCAAAAATATTCTTTGAAGGCACAGATTTATGCACTCACAAAAAGCAACAAGAAAATGTTAAGTGAAGTAGCTTATTAGGATTAATACATTTAATAAAGGGCTCACTGGTATCATGTGACTAAGACTTTGAGCCCTGTCTACATTCAAGAGTGGAGTTCTTGTTTTGATTTGTTAATTCTCTCTCTTTTAGAACTTATTTTTACAACCAGTCATTGCTTATTAGATCAGTGTTGTTATCCTTTCACTGCTACTTCCCCTGACCCCACCCCAGAAGGCTTTAATGAAGCACTTCAGTACTTTTCCGTCTTTGCAGTGGAGCCACCAAATGCGTATGTATAGGGTGGCCCCATGGTGGTAGTTGGAAGAGCTCTTGAGCTGTGTTTTCACTGGAATGTGTTTGAAGAACTCTCCCCCAGCTTCTTTATGATTCACAGGAATCCACATCATGCTGTTTTAGAACACTGGTCTACATGACCCAATACTGTAAGCAGTAATTAATTGAGAGCAGCTGCCTAGCATTTCAGGTAGACATATTCCCTTCAGACAATGCTCTTCATGTTGCCTGTTCTTTGCTGAGAATAATCTAATGCATTTATTTATTGTATTGTGGTACTTTGAACATGGACAAAGAAAGAAAGAAAGCATTTTAACATGAAAGAGACTACCATAATGCAGCTCAAGAAATGGACACAGCTGGTTTGTTTGTTTGTTTGTTTATTGAATTTTTACCCCGCCCCTCTAGGCCATGTCTACTCAGGGTGGTTTACATAG